ACGCTCTTCATCGTCCCACACTCAGAGTCAAGTGCCACCGCCTTGGCCTTGGCCTTCTCCTTCTCGCGGTCCGTCTGGTTCACAGGAGCCGGCGTGCCACGGCCGGCACCAATCTTGGACGGCTCCTTGAGCCGTGACACCGAGATGCTGCCCTGCTTGGTGCTCAGCAGGCTGGGATCAATGCTGCTGCTGACCGGCCGGTTGGCACCACGGCCGCCAGTCACACTCATGGAGCTGGACTTGGCCGGCCGGGGCAGGCTGCGGTACTGGATGTTGGAACGAGCCCCTGGGGCCAGAAAGCCAGGCTCGGCTGCGTTGGAGACATCCAGGCTTGTTTTCCTCCCACTGACTGGCTTCACAGGGATGCCGGAGCTCTTCTGGATCTTCCCGAGCGTGGCCGAGCCCCCAGCCTGCATGACAGTGGCTGTGCCAGTGGCGGGAGCCGGTTTCTTATAGCCGAAGGAGCTGGAGGCCGAGGGGCGTGTGAGACCCGAAGGTGGCTTCTTGGCATCAGCGATGCGGTCACGACCGGCATCAGAGGAGGAGCGCTGCAGGCCTGTGCTCTTCACAGACAGCTTGCTCTTGTCAGTGGCTTTGCTCTCGGGCTTGCCTGGTGAGCAGGGAAGGACAGGTTAGTGTCCCAGGGGTCTTTGGAGACATTTGAGTGTAAACTAGCCCAGATCAGACACCGGTATCAGAGACACCAGGATGCGATGGAGACAAAGGGACATGCCACTGTACCAGGTGCTGGGGTAGAGCCACAGCCAGACCCCCGGTGCACCCAGCCAGGCCTCAGCCCAGCGTGTGACCACGAGGCCATGGGGCAGGCATGGCCCTGGCCAAAGGAGGCTTAGCATGGGGCCGGACCCACAACCTGTCTGCAGGGATGCACAGCCCTGCCACCCCCTCCAGCCCACGTCCAGCTGCCATGTCCCAGCACAGCCATAGGGTGACCCGTGGCCGACGTGCTCAGGGAAGGCCCATGAAGACACCACCCAGCCCTCTCCCCATCAGAGAAGCTGGACCCTGCCCGAATCGCATCTCACCTGCCACTTTGAGGGTGCTCTGGGCCGTATGGGTGATGGGAGAGGTCACGGCCACTGGCGGGGTCTTGCCCTTCTTGAGGGAGCCCGGGGTGCCCAGGCTGACAGGTTTCTTCAGCTCGCCGCCCTTGGGCCCCTCCTCGCCGCCCTCCGAGGGCTCCCGCCGCCACTTGGAGGAGCCATGCTCCATCTTGAGGCTGCTACTGTCGTAGTCCAGCTTCTTGGGCGCCTTGTCCTCACCCTCCCCGTACCAGCTCAGCCCGCTCTCTGCCAGCGAGCGCTTCTCCGAGTCGGTGCGCAGCTGCAGGCAAAGCAGAGTCGGGTGCTGCTGGAACCCACCCCAAACCCATCCCCAGGGAACACCAGCCAGCTGGAAGAGGGATGCACCAGACACCCCATGCCATGCTTCAGTTTCCCCATGCCGGCACCTCCATCGCCTCCCTCCCACAGAAGCTGTGACACCAAGCCAGGAGCGGTGCCAGGAATGGTCCAGGCACCACAGGCACCTACCGCTATGGCCGAGTTTCTGCGCGAGGCGGTTGGGGTGGAGGGCAGAGAGTTGAGCGAGGAGCTGGCATTGAACTCCTCCGAGCTGAGGTTGTCGGAGGCATCGCTGAGGCCGCTGCTGATGGAGCTGCTCTCATCCCAGCTGCAAGGGCAGAGTCAGAGTCAGACACCCCTGCCCAGGGGGTCCTGCCACCCATGGGATTTTCCCTCTCCAGAGGCCGCCAGGGCACAGACCTCAGCTCCCAATAGCACCCGCTGCAGGGCCGCAGCAGGGAGCTGGCACTTGGTGGCCACGGCTGGCTGCAGCCCAGCCTGGCACGGGCTCGGTGCCCTGGTGGTACATGAGCCCCAGTGACCCGTCTCCCCATTAAGGCCCCTGCGGGGGTTTTCTGGGGACAGAGGGTACCTGTGCAGTGCCGTGAGGCCAGCACCCACCCCGGCAGGGCTGGCAGCACCGCAGCTGCCACTGAGCCCCCTGCAACCTGCCCTGCTGAGAGGGTCAGGAAGATCGGCGGAAAGGGCAGGGACCGGCTGCAGCAAACAAACCAGCTGCCCCACGGCATCCACCCTTCCTCAAGCAGCCCCCACCCACCACCTGCTCCCCCCTCTTCAGCACCCATGGGGGGCACGGGCAGCAGGCACAGGCATCGCTGCTGTGCCGGGGCAGCTGCTCCATGCCAGGGGCTCAGCGGACTGTGCTGAAGCCCATCTCCAGGGCCGTCAGTCAGCGCCGCACCGGGGCGGCAGCTGCCTGCGCACCCCACAAGCCCGGGCAGCTACGCAGCACGGGGCTGTGCCCACGGCGATCCAGCACAGACGGGCACAGAGCATTTTCCAGCAGGATGAGCACAGCCCCTTTCAGGTCAGCAGCTGAGTAGGTCATTGAGGCCCTGCAGCCTCCAGAGGGGCTGCAAGGAGCTGGGGGGGATAAGTAGCAGCATAGGAGAGGTGAGAAGAGCTGGGGGCTGCAGCCAGCTCTGGTCCTTGCTGGAGATGCCCGTTCCCTGACATTGGGGCCACAGAGGTGCAGGAGGAGCCCAGTCAGCAGCAGAGCCTAGGCAGCTGGTGAAGCCACTGAGCATCATCCCAGTAGCACTGCAACCCTGGCTGAGCTGGGGACAGGACAGGGTGGGCCGAGCATTGGAGAGGGTACCTGCTGGGCACCACCACCAACCGGGGTGCCAGGGCACAAGTAACAGCCACCACCATCCCCTCTTGGATGCCCAAAGCACAGGACAGAGCAACGCAGGCAGCTCCAGCACCCTCCAACAAGCCCCATGTACCCTGCTCTTCCCAGACATCAGGGACTGGCCAGAGCCAGGACAGTGCCAGGATGGACATGGTCCCCTCCATCCCCAGGGCAACTTTTGGAACAGAGCCCTCCAGGCATTGCTGCCCAGGAAGGGCTTTAATTATGACCATGTGCCCGGCACGTGCTACTGGGCTCCCCTGCTCCAAGCATCTCCCACCACCATCCCCTGCTCCAGGGGGTGACTTCTCACCGGGACACAAATCCCCACCCCAGAGGACGAAGCAAAGCTCCCCTCCTACAACAGCATGGCCCTCGCAGCAGGCAGAGCTGGGCGCAAGGCAGGGCTTTGGGGAGCTGTGTCCCACAGGCACATGGCTGTGACCAAACATGACACTGGCTCTCTCCAGCTTGGCTTTGGTGGCCTGGCAGCACGGACTCCCAGTGCTCTCCCAACCCTGCACTGGAACCCCCACTGCCCCGGCCCCAGGTCTATGGAGAGCCCTGGTGAAACAGGCACAGGGTCAGCAGCTGCATCGGTGCAGGAGGTGACCCCAGATCCTGCACAGGGGTTGCAGGTGACATCCCAAAATCACTGAAGCCATGGGGTGAGGCCTGGGAGCCAGACACCTGCTGTGGGGTGCCTCCATCTCTCTTACGGAACACACAGATGGCACATGCACACAAGAGGAGTCCCCAAAACGAGCATGTGTATGCTGTACCCAGCACAGCAAGGAAAGCCTCATCTCGGGCTGCTCCGCAGCGGCAACAACTCCCAGTGCACAGCCGGGCCCAGGCACGCCGGTCCCTGCCCGCCAAGGTCACCCGAGTGCCCCCCGCAGACCCTAAACAGGGGACGGCCATGCCGCAGCATCACGCTGGGGGCAAAACTCAATCCTTGCTTTGTGCTCCAGCCCCTCCATCTTACACAGAGCAATTCCCCACCTCCTTTCAGCGGGCACCGCACCAAACCCACCCCGAAGGCAGCGATGCGCCGGGACAGCCGCACGCCCTGCATCCCTATGTCCCCGACGGCTCCCGGGGAGGGGATGCGCAAGGACGGCGAGGCGGGGCCTGCGGCAGCGTGACCGTCCTGCCGCGCTCCCCGGCACCGGGCGGG